TGACTCAACACACTCCTGCCTCCATCCCTAAAAATCGGATGGAGGGGCATATCCCATAATCTGATCACGGAATTTTTTGAAGGCGGCTCCTTGCAATGGCTTCGACATAAAATCTCCTATCATTTTGTCCGTAGGACAATACTCGACCACAAGATTACCCTGATGTATCTGGTCGGTAAGGAAAAAATAACGAATATTCAAAGCTCGCGTACGACTTGTAGAACTGTCCTTGCCATTGTTTTCCAATTGGATCGTCGACTTGTTGTCTTGTTTGAGGACGATATCCAAACCCTGAGACTCCATAAACAAACGTGTCCACAACAGTTGTTGGACGGCATCATCGGCACCAACCAACTCTGCTTCGGTGCTGCTCCTCGTATTGAGCTTCTGCTTCTTCGACATGGTAATAATACCACCTTGTCCAAGAGTAGCAACTGCACCTGTGTGGGAACGGAAGTCAGGGTGAACAGCAAAAGCTGCATCAACGTACCACTTGATCACATTCAAGTTATCGGCAGAAAGGATAAGTTTGTCGTCACGCGTGCTGTCACAATAATGTAGCATACGTAATAAAGCTTCCCAATCGCTTTCAGTCGGAGGCTGTACCCTCGTGCAAAGCACGGCGATGGTAGGGTGAATATCGGGGCGTGCTCGTTTACAGACGAACAACCCCTTGGCAGTAAATGTGTGGTATTCCTCCGCACATTTCTGGTCCAGTTTTTCACCTGTTGAGGCGTGGAACAGAGTTTCTGCCGCTGGTGATGATACTGTCACGTCGGGGTCAAACTTGATGGAAAAGTCGTCAACCATCTTCCCAACATATTCGGTCATGTTGCAATACACGGCTCTTAGCCTTATTCGCGACTCGATCCTAGATAGGGTTTGAGTTCGACTCATGACTGAGTCTCCTCTCGTGAATAGTCATTGAGACAGGGTTCTCAATGACCGTCTAGTCATACTAGGTTGATGATGAACATCGTCTAGATATTAGCCAGCGTGGAGTACTCCACGCTACTAGATAAATGCTAGACGAATCTTCCACGCTTCCGTTTTTGGATCGTGGAGTGAGTAGGTTGCTACCGCACCTACTCTATCACACTCTACAGTCTCCCGCGGAGTTCAGATCTACGATCTTTGATTGTGGATCTCTCTCGTTGATTAGTTTTCATAGCTTTCTAATCCTCATAACTTTCATTCTCTCAAACTCAACACTCGAAAGATCTTTACACTAGTTTTAGCGTAGTGCATTTTTGTAACAAACACAATAGCTTCACTACCCTCAACCTATTCCTCACCATGAAGATTGCAGCAAAGCGCATACACCAGCTTCGAGTCTAAGCTGGGCGACAAACCAATCCTTCCTCTCTCGACCTCGATGATGAATGCGAAATCGACGATTCTCGCTCACCACCTACAAACTTCGCACATTCCAGCAGATGCTAACACCCAAGTACACCTTCAAGGCCAAATCATCAATGGATCAGACTCCACGTAGACCATCAAGTGGGCTGGACTTATGGAGAAGGTCTTCGTTCGGGCTCGCCTTGCTACGCCTGGACAAAAATAACCTCCTCAGAGGAGATGACTTCTAGCTCTGCAAAGAGCAGTTACGAATCTAGCTGTGCAGGCCATTGTGAAATACGTTGGAATGCTTGCGCCAGATTGCAGTCAACGGATTGCTCAACGCGATGTACGTGGCGGGAAGACGAAGTCGCTTTCCAAGTACGTTTCCAGGCTGCTGGAACGGAGAGCTCAGCCTGCTTTGGAGATGCTGACATTACGTTTGCATAAATGCCTGTATCGAAGCGGTCTGTCCCTACAAGGCTCTTGAAAAGCAGAAACGCTTATGCGCCGCAAGATGCGTAACCTGCTGATATGTTACTCGGCTTATGTCAACAACCAGTCGGATGAACACCGATGAACTTCCTCGTCTACCACCTTTTGGACCCAACCAAACGTTGAACCATGACGAAGTCATTGACATTGTTTGTCTGGAATTCCACGCTCGTGGATGAAGAAGATGACGAACCGACTTCGATCCTTTCTCAGCTCCTATCGGAAAACCATTGGATTCTCGAACCATGGAATCCTCGAAGATTTGACAAGGGCGTGATGCAAGCAAGCTCCTTCGAAGAGAACAACAGCAAGAAGTACAAGTCTACTCGCAACAACGACCACTCTTCAAGAACGAAGAAAAATGGTGCGACTACACGAGTCCAGCACTCACAACACTGCTGACTGCATGACTCTGAAGAAGCTCAAGGCCAAGTCTCAGTCCTCGTCTGACAACGATAACAAGCCAGGTACAAAAAGAACAAGACTTGAAAACGCAAGTCCGACGACGCCAAACCTACACCAAGAAGAAACTCTCTGTCCTCATGAAGAAAGTTTCCAACGCTGGGTCAGGCTGATCGCAAGAAAAAAGCGAATGCAACCATGTTGCCAAGCGCAAGTCAGACAACTCCGACACGAGGACGACTCCTCTGTTGGATCCATCAACATGATGGACAAGAAAATGGCTGCCGTTGACAAGGCGCTTCCCGAATTCGACTTCAATCATTCGGAGGGAGAGATCTCCGTCTGAGGATTAGGAGGATGATGATTCAACGGAACCATGTTCCGATTTCTCATACCTAGTGATGAAGATATCTCAAATAGTAAACAAGATTTGTTTGCAACTAACGAAGTCTACGGCAAATTAGATAATTGCCTAGCGAAACTACTCAACTAGACACTGACGATCTGTTCAGCATCGTTAACTTCGTCCATGGCCAATCAACTCATCAACGTCGCAAGACAAGAGACCTCGAAACTATCGTCTATGTTAGATTTAACAGACGAGCGAAAGGGAAACGAAAACCCGTTACACTCTGTTGCTTACTGGATACAGAAGCATCCGGGATTTTAATTACTCAAACTCATGCTAAGAGTTTACTCATGAAGAATCATGGGGGCGTCCAAACACTACGGACTGCTTCTACGAAGGAATTGAAACCCCGCACGAAGTGTAAGGGCACACTCGTGATTCCTGAGTTCCACGATAATAGAATTATCAAATGGAATTTACACGTCACCAAGAACTTGGGGGCGCAAGACGTGATCATAGGTCAAGACACTCTCTTCGACCTAAGAATCAAGTTTGATTTCACTACCATGTCATTGGAGTGGAACAGCGTATTTTTCCCTGCGAAAGATGGCGATACCGATAGAAAGGAGAACTTCTCCATTCCCGATCCTGCAGCTGTCAGCGACAATGCAGATAGTCTCAAGAAGATTCTTGATACGACATACGAACAAGCAGACTTAAGGCAGATGTGCCAGAGTCGAAACCAGTTAAATAAGGAAGAGCAAGAACTGCCTCATGCCTTTCAACCAAGTGCTTCGGCCCAGTCGAGGATACTTTGGGAGAGTTGCGAATGGACGACTACGAAGTAGAACTTCGTCCCGACGCTAAATCCTATTATACTAGGGCTCACCCTACTCCACGGGTCCATACCAACACTCTTAAGAAGGAGGTTGAACGTCTCTGCGAGGCAGGAATACTCAAGAAGGTGAATCGTTCCGAGTGGGCGGCACCAACTTTTATCATTCCCAAGAAAGAGGGATCTGTACGATTCATCTCTGATTTCCGGGAACCGAACAAAAGGATCAAGCGGAAGCCTTATCCTATCCCAAAAATACAGGACATGCTCTTGGACCTAGATGGATTCAAGTGCGCTACTAGTCAGTCTAGACCTGAACACGGGACACTACCACATCGAGCTGTCACCTCACTCGAAGCAACACTGTACCATTGCACTCCCGAGGGGAAAGCACGAGTACCAGAGGTTGCCAATGGGTCTATGTAATAGTACCAGAGGTTGCCAATGGGTCTATGTAATAGTCCCGACATCTTCCAAAGGAAGATGAAAACACGCATGCATGACTTAGAAAATGTCCGTGCATATATTGATGATCAACTCATCCTAACTGACGTCGATCTGGCAGATCGCGTTGAATAGTTAGATGACCTTTTCCAAAGACTTCAAGAAGTCGGGGTTAAAATCAACATTACCAAGGCCTTCCTCGAAAGGAAAACCTTGAGTATCTAGACAATTGGGCTACTCGAGAAGGAATCCAACCCTTAACTAAAAGGATAATAGATGCGATCCAACTATCGCTCTTCCGACCAACAGGAAGGAACTTCGTGGATTCATTGGACCAATGAACTACCAAGGGCTGCTCCAAGACAGCAGACGGAGTAACCATCGTTCTGAAACAGACGTGGGTTACCCAGTATCCATGACCGGTTGTCATGGACAGAGAACGTGAGTCCCGCGCAGAGGTCGAGAAGACTCTCCGGGATGAACGTGGACTTCGTCGCAAGTTCACGCGCGTCAATCGTGACAAGATTCACCACATCCGTTTCAAAGCAAACCGGAAATACATTAAGGAACGTCGCCAACGACTTATCCAGAAAAACACCGATAAGATAAGGAGAACACGACACGTGTCCCTCATCAACACCATGTCAACGATACTATGATGATTCATCAGTATCAGAACCGTTAGTACGGTCAGCCAAAGGTCCTTACCACACAGACCGAGTCAATAACAATGGCACTGTACGGCTCCGACATACTACCGCCAGTAGCGGCACAGTCTACCAGACTTGGAACATAAGGTATTTACACCCATACAAGGCCTGATCCCCTTGTAGGATTGCCATCGTGCGACGCACATGTCTACATCCAATCTCCGGAGAGTGCCCCGCACTTTAATTCATATGTTCTCCTTGTCCGACTGATGTCGTGCCTTCCGTGACCCTTGTCAGGGGGCGAATGCAATACACGGCTCTTAGCCTTATTCGCGACTCGATCCTAGATAGGGTTTGAGTTCGACTCATGACTGAGTCTCTCGTGAATAGTCATTGAGACAGGGTTCTCAATGACCGCTCTAGTCATACTAGGTTGATGATGAAACATCGCTCTAGATATTTAGCCAGCGTGGAGTACTTCCACGCTACTAGATAAATGCTAGACGAATCTTCCACGCGTTCCGTTTTTGGATCGTGGAGTGAGTAGGATTGCTACCGCAACCTACTCTATCACACTCTACAGTCTCCCGCGGGAGTTCAGATCTACGATCCTAGTGAGGAATCGCTTTTGGTGGTCCAGTCGATTTCGAATTTCAGTCCCGGATACTCATGACTCAACAGATTCACTGTTGCGAAAAAGCGAAAAATGGTGGATTATTCCATCAGAAAGCCCTGGCTAAGTACTCTATTGGACCACAGAAAACACTGCTTTGCATTACACCACCATGGAAAATCCATTCCGATGTCTCCATTCAGATGTTTTACCACAAGTTATCTACCAATACGCCAGGGATTTACCTGAAGGGATCAGGCGGATGAGATCACTCTCACTATAGATGAAGAAAATGGCCTCATTGGTGTGATGCTCAAATTGGGGATGTGTATTGATGCTTTTTCGGCATGAGCGGGTCCCTCCTCCCTTCCGGTCAGGGACGGAACCGATCGCTGGGTCCACCAACTTGCAATGGGAGCATGCACAACAAGATTGCAAGGATACGGTGGCACCTGGTACGTGTAGGAGGAAAAGTCAACATTATCGATCCAGCATCCAGCACCTTGGTCTCTGAACGTCACCGTACTAATACCCAGAAGACAGAGCCTGGGACCACGGCACATGGTGCGGACGCCAGCAATTGAGGACCGTGACTCGACTCAGGCTCTAGATAGCAGGAAATAACCAACAGTAGACTAGACTATGAATACATTGGCGACTCATTGCTAGTAGTTGGAATCCAAGGAACAAATAATATAGTACCTCTGAAATTTTTAAAATGTAAACTGTTCAACTCTTGACCTTCCCAAAATGTTGGCTCTCAGATGATCAATACATCCCGCCGCCGTCGATTGCTGATGGGGTAGGGGGCAATGAAGGTGGCTGGAATGCCCCAGATGCACTATCCATTGTAAGCCCACTGTAAGGAGCGCTGTACATCTCACTCTCGCCGCCAGCATAGTTTCTGCTGTTGCGGTATCTGACAAAACTGAACGCCTCCGTTCGCTTTTTGTAGTAGACGAACCCAGCCCCTCCCAAGACGAGCACAATAAAGAAGTTTCGGAAAAAGTGTGACTTCTTGCCCGATGAATCTGAATCCTCGGCTGGAACATAGTCCGATGGGTAGTACGGCTTTTTGTTAGCAGTGCTGGTGCTGCTACTGCTGTCGGACGGGACGACATACGGCTTCTTGTTAGCACTGCTACTGTCGGTGGGAACGTATGGCTTCATTGTTGGTCGTGGGGTGGGCTCTGGCTTTGGTCCAGTGGGAGCCGTAGGGCGAGGCGTCAGCGGAGCCACGGGCGCTGGAGTGTCTTTGTCAGCGGGAACAGCCGCAGGAGCAGCTGTCGCTTCCAAGCAATTCTTGGCATAGTCCTGGTAAAAGCCCCAAGCAGCCGACGAGATCTCCGCTTCGCAGTCGATCCTCCTAAGAACGGGGAATGCGCCGGACTTTCCACATCCATCTTGTACGAATTGGCCTGCAGGAAATAATGAACAAAGGAGAGTTTAGATCACATGGCTGCAGGGACCCACGAGCAGTACTCGAAAGGATACGTACAGACTTCGCTCTTGCTAAAATCAATGGTTCCATCAAACTTGTCTTCCAAGCTCTCCTTGCAGGGAGTGTAGAACTCAGCCCAGGCATCACAATCAATTTCGTCCAGAGACTTGCAGCCATCCATGGACTCATACAATAAGCTCTTGAGATGGATAAAGGAGGAGCACAAAGGACAATCAGCTGACGCCTTGGACGCGCATTCGCAAAAGCTGTCAGCTTGGTGATACAACAGAGTCGCAAGGGCAGAAATGGCGTCTGCATATTCCTCTTCGCTTTGTTCCTCTGCCATGTGCGTGGCTCGCTCGAGAATACCCATGCATCCCAAGGCAGTGTGTCCACCATGATTAGCGGCACTCTTGTAACCATGAGCACATGCCTCAAACTGATCCAAAAGGCCGAATTTGTTCATGTCGTAATCCCGCACCAGCAGTGTGATTTGATCCATGTCTGTGCATTCTGCAAAAGTCAGAACGGCGTCTGAACCCTTCATTGTCTCGCCAGGACTGCAGGTACGAGTCGACCCGTCTGGCTGTCTGCCATCATTGTTGTTGTTTTCAATAGTGGTAGCACTGGGCAATATGCCAGGGTTCAACTTGGTCTGGCAAAAGTCCGAATCTTTCCTTGCGGTGCAATGACACATGGTACAGTCCACGACAGCTAGGAAGGCATCACTTGGAAAACAAAGAGACACGGAAGGAATCAATGATGAGGTTTTTCCATGTTGCAAGACAACATCTGTCTTTAATTTCTTTTGCATACCTTCCATAGCAAAAGTCAGCTTTTTCTTCCGCCAAGCATAGGTTGCAGGTTTCGTCCTTCTCGCAAATTCCCACTTGGATGGTACATTGTTTTTCGATGCAGGTATACATCTCTTTGAATTCCTTGTATTCGGGGTCATTATTAGGTTTGACGTTCGGTTTTCCATCGCACGTGTTGTCCTTACAAGCTTTTCCACCAACGGAGAAATCGCAATTCATCGGAGCGCCTCCGGCCGCCTATTTTAATAAAATACAAGAAGAAGCACACAATAGTGAGAGACAAAATGCAATGTCAAATCTGTACCGTCCTTCCAAAATCAACGCACCAAAGCTGGAGCTCCATTTGCCATGGGTCTAACCTCCCAGCTAGCTTCATTTCCCCATTCTCCACCGGCGACATCGACATGCAAACAGGTGGATTCCTTGGGTAGACAGATGTATCGAATACCCTTGGATCCGGAATTGAGGGCACCGCTAAATTTGACACTGTCTGTGTGTGCAGCGGCTGTAATGTTCAAAGTGGTGGCATCCCATCCATCTCCAAAGGTATCGTACATTGTCAATTTGTATTTGACTTCATCGTCGCCGCACTGGGTCAAGGCTGGATCCGGATTGTTTTCGTCGGTCATGTTGGTATTTGTACAGGCGAGCGAAAATTTCGGATCGCATTTAGTGGAGTTGGTATCACGGCAAAAGTATCCGTCGTGGCCGCACTCGGCGTAGGTTCCGGACGTGCAAGTGTCTTCGCAGCAATCACCGCCGTCCCATCCGCAGATAGCCGTGTTGTAGCAACCACCCATTTGATCATGGCAAATTCCATCCATGAGCCAGTTTTTGCGTATTCCAGGCCAATTGCAGTCAATGAGCGAGTCACAGTCAATTAAGTCTTCTTCGTCGTCATCATCTCCGTCTTCTTCGTCTTTATCGTCTTCTTCCCAGACGGCACAGGCATTGAACGCCTTGCAAAAGGCTTCGCGAGCCCCGTTGTCACTGTGCATATCCGAGCAGTGCGATTTTTTGGCCAAGAATCCCAAGACATCATCACAGGAAGTATCCGGCGTCACGGTTCCCCAGTCCACATTTTCTCCGTATAAGTAGCGAAAGCAAGAGGCGCATTTCTCTTCCGGCAAACAACTCAACAATGCTTGATCGCAGTTCTGTTCTTTCGTGAAATCGCTTTGCGTTTGACGACCACTGTGATCGTGAGCATGGTCCGGATGAACCAGACCCACATGGCGACGCCGAAAGCCAGGATGAAGGTCCCAATCTTCTTCCTCCTCAACCAGCGATCGACTGGCCGATTCCACTCGTCGCGACAAGTCATCCGCTTGAAGCATTCGTTTCACAAAGGCAGTCTTGGAAGGCGATTCCGTAGATGCCGCTAGAGCGACAAGGCTCAGAGAGATGCACGTTGACAGCAACGACATCATCCCTATCTTCATTCTCTCTTAATCAAATGTTAATCCTAGGCAAGGGCTTGGTAGCAAAGACACTCTCTTCCTTTGATCTTACCAAAGGATTGAATTCAGGTTTTATGTTGTTGTTTTGTTCGCTTGTTGCCATGCAGAAGCCATGCAAACGGTTGCTTTGCGGTTGCTGGCGGGAACCACGAAACACTCGTTAAATGAGTCCCGGGCAGCAATGCCATCGGATGCAGCCCCAGTTTTTAGAAAGCGCCCTTCTTGCTTTTGCGGATCAATGTGCGTGAAGGAAGAAGCAACAGGGTAGCCTAATAGCTATTGCTCCTACGGTAGCTAGAAGTGTCTTTGGCTCTATCATCCTCCAGGTTGTTCCTTATAGAAATCACAGTTGATGTCACCCATGGATCCCCCGGTTGCTGCCCAGCATGTTCGATGATGAAGGTCCACCTAGCAAGTATCGGTTTCTATTTACACAAGTACAGCGGTTTATGATTCAGGTATCGGTACCTCTTGGCTGCTCCACCGATCAATCTGCTCCATCTGCTCTGCTGTTACGCTTTGTCCAAGCGCCGTACTTGACTGCACAACTGCACTGCTTGGATCTTGATCGTACGGTATCGGTACTATTGGCCTTCTGTTTGTGGATGCCCTTCCTCATCTTTATGCTTGATGCCAAGAGATTCCTCGGCCAGCAAAGCTTCCCTAGCAGCAATATCACCGACTTGCACATTGCGCTTCACAGCTGATTCTACTAAATCCAGGCACTCGACATTACAACCAAGATGACGAAGAGCACACGAAGCCTCGTCCAAGAAACGAACGTCGTTCTTCAAACTGGAGGATTCATCCACAACCCTCTTCACAAGATCTGCCCAGCCGCTTTGATCCCGAGGGATACGGGGATGCTTGCCATCTTCCAACCTTTCGCCGCCGCTGAAATGGCGTCCATGCGACACAATCAAGCGAAGGACGGCGTTCTTAGCCTGGCGTCCCTCCACAACTCTCTTCTCAAACGATTCAATGGCAAAGTCAAGTTCGTCAACATAACTCTCATTCGGATCATTCCACCACATCAAAAGTCGAGCGTCACTGAAACCCAACAAATGTTTCAAGCGCCAATAGCGAGAATCCAGCCAGCTCGCTGGGTCCATCCCGGCTGCCTTGGATGTGTCGCGAATGATGCCCCGTGCAATTCTCAGTTTCCCGGATAGCTTCGTCTCAGAAACAGCCTTCATGGAGAGAACCCCCAGCGGAGTCGAATGGCAGCCTCTCTCCAGCGCCATGTGATAAGTATCGATCACATCGTTCCAACGCCCTGCGTCCGCAAATTTTTGCGCAGCTGCCACGAACGAATCAATGTTGTCGCCTCGGGTTGATTCGACGTGCCGCCGAAATAAAGCAGCCGCTTCCTCTGTGTTGCCGCTCTCCGCCAATATCTGAAGGACAGCAGAGTTAGTGTTGGTCCACTTTTCTGGTTCTCGCTCAAAGCCATCGACATTTGCTGATAGCAACGAAAGCGCCAGAGCTTTTTGGTCCATTGCCAGATGCGCCTTCATTTTCTCGGCAAGGTAGGCATCAATCAGAGTGAAGAAGGCATCGTTCGTACCTTTCTTCTCACCTCCCAGCGAGAAATGACTACCAGAGGTCTTCGGAGCGAATCTAGCAAGCTCGGCTGTAGCATAGTCAGAAAGTATGATACCAGCTGCTGGTTGACTCGCTTCTGTACATGAACGGAGCACCATGGCTAAGGCTGAACCCAAAACATAGAGCTGGTCTGGATCAAGCTGTTCACCTCTCATTCTGATTGCATGAAGAGCTCTCAAGATCCTGTCCGAGTGGCGTTGACAGGTAGCCCATCGCCTTTGATCTGGAGACGAGTTTGCGCACGCTTGAGCATAGTGATATACTTGCTCGGCTTCGACAAACGCGTCTGATGTTTGGTCAAACTCATTCTCACGTTCCATTGTTAGATCAAATAGAGTTTGCGCTTGTTCGAAGCTCTCTACGCCGCATAACGCAATCATCGCTGCAGAAAGAAGTTCGTTGGCATCATTGACTTCGCGAAGCAACCCCAGCATGGTCATCATTCCTCCTGAACTTTCATGCCCCCGCGAACTCGCCAGAGATACATCCACTAGCATGAAACAAAGAAGGGCCACTCCAAATTCACCGGCTGTGTTGCAGGCCCGCATTACGCAGGACAAGACGCTCCCATGATCAATAAGGCTTCGTTGGAACTCGCCATTGGGTTCTGTGTCCTCTACGCTAGGGATTTCCAATTCGGCACCGGGAACCACATGAATACTCGTGTCGTCTGCCCACAGTCTAAAGAGCAAGTCCACAGCATCTCTCCACTCTTCATCTCGTTCCAAAGCGCTGAAGACGCCATGAAGAGCAACTTCGCTTACAGCACGTTCCTCCTCTAGGGCTTGACGTAGCATCGCCATTGCTTCAGAGCCGCTTCCACATTTAGCAAATGCGCGCATTGCCAAGTCTCGACACAACGGAAACGTGGTGTCTTGCCCTCCACCCCAGTGGAACTCGGACGAAATAGCAAGGTTACCATCCGTGAGAGTACGAAAGACTTCGTTTGCCTCTTCGTGCCTGTTGCACAGCAAGCATGCATGCATGGCTGCAGCAACCAGGGGCTACCGGCGATGGAAAACATCAGGGGTTACTGGATCCATGTAAATTGCATGTAAGCATCGGTACAAAACGACGTACCTGACCAGGGACACCTTCACCTGAGTTCTCCTTCAGATACGACACCAAACCTTCCCACTCGCCAGCTAGACCGATTGCCTACAGACGAAACCAAACGAGATGAAAGGTCAGCAAAGAAAACTGCATACACTGTGGAGGGCCATGAAGGTGCTCACCGTTCCCGCGGCGAGCATGTCTGATGAGGAATAAATTCGTTCAGAGAAGAGGACGTGTGAGAGATGTTGTAACCTAACAGGTAGGCATTCGGTCAAACAAGGAGGGCTTTCCCAACGCACGCCGATCTTTGTCTGTTGGAGAGATGAGAGACAGACTGGTGACTGCTTCCATCACCGAGTCAACTACACTCTTTCCAGATTCCTGTGCATCTCTCGCAACAGCGTACAACCCTACTGGTGATGAGACAGAAACAAAGCTCATGGGGCAAAATCCAGATGCATCTCGATCGATCTGTTGAAGAAAGAGCTCAGCAGCAAGTTTCCAGCGCTTCTCGTGCACACCCACAACAATGGCGTTCTGATAGTGTGGTTCCTGACGGTTAAGATTCCAGTCGTCGAGAAGCACCAGAACCCATAAACATTCCTCAAAAATAGAGTAGTCTCTGTCATCGTGATAAGACGCAGAATAGATGCCAAGTATACTGCCAAGAATGGATGATAAGGCACGTCCGTGTTTCCCAGAAGGATTGATCTTTTTTTGTTCTACCGCCATTCGTAGGGTATCCACGATTTCCTTTGCCCCATTGAACAGCTCTTTTCTCTCTGCGGAATTTACGTCGATACTTGTTGCGTCAGATAATGCAAGAGGCATTGTCTTCAATCTCATGGCACGTTCCTCTAATGAGCGCAAATGACGCTGCACAGAAGACAGGTCTTGCATTTTGCTATTGGACAAGCTCTTTGGAGAAGCTCGGGGTTCGAATCGGGAAGGATCTGTCAATTTCTGTTGATCGCCTCTCGGTGGAGGGTTGTTGGTCGTTTTCTTAGGTTCAAAGAGGGCATTCTGTGGCGCTTGTCGCCTGGATTGGGAATTGGCTCCAACATTCGACCTCTGGCTCTTCTTCGTATTTGAGGTTTCGAAGAGTGAATTCCGCCGCTCATTTTTTCGTCTTGCTGTGCCATGAGGAGTCTTTGATGACACTCCATCGGAGAGCTGTCGATATTGGACCTGAGATACCGGTGTGGAAGTGGCCCATCCTTCTTCGCCCTGTAATGCATCCAAAAGATGTGCCTAACTGTACCCACTGATAGACCCAGCACGTCGAAAGAAGCAGGGAATCTTCGCCTAGCTCTGCGGCATCTCTCTCTTTT